GCCCGCTCTCCCCCCCCCCCCCCCCAGCCGCGAGGGGCCTGTTGTGTCTGTGGATGGGTGGGGGGGGATGTTGCACGTACGCCCACCAAGAGCTGCTGTGGTGCTGGTGCGGGTGATGCAGAAGAATTGTTCTAAGCCACAGGAGGAGAAGAGCAGCCCTCGGCGGCCAGCAGCAGGTCGGAGGGAGCCCCTGGCCAGGAGAATTCCCCCGTCCACTCCTGCTCTGGGACTCCTCGGAGCTGCCCCACAGCATAGACCAAAGGGGAGGGATGCCTCAGCTCCCCTGCAAACGCTCCGGTGCGTTTTTAACTGACATCTAAACGTTCTGACGGATTTTACGGAGAGGCCCAATTTTAGCTCTTTTCGCCAGGATGGTCCCTTATGCCAAGAATGTCTGTGAATTCACTGACGCTTGGCAACCCTGATTCCCACCTCCTCCCAGGCCTCGGGGACCCCCAGGCTGGGGGCGGCACAGGAGTACCCCACTCACCCTGCCCCTTATTCCAGCACCTGAACGGTGCTGAGCAGGCCAAAGGTGGCCTATGCAGTGTGGAGAGTTAGTCAGGACGGCGCCTGGCCTTTGTCTGGGCCCGGAGACCTTTGTGAGTTTCCTTTGGGAGCCTGAGCTGCTGCGCAGGAGGAGAGAAGATGGCCAAGCTGAACCCTTCAGGCTACACAATCCAAGAGGAGCGTGGGACTAAAAATTCCCCACGTGTGGCAGGCAGGGGCTAAGGGGGGAAGCAGCACAGAGTGGCCGGAGCTGTCTGAGATCGCAGGCGAGGCCTAGAGAGACACAGCAGCCCTAGACAGCTTCTTCATGCCACAGGCCACGGTGCCTGGGGGGAGATTTGATCCACCAGGTGTACTCGCTGTGTCCTTTCTTACCCCCTCAGTTGTGAGCAAGACACGAGAAGTCATTCTTCCGCTCTACTCTGCATTAGTTAGGCCTCAGTTGGGGTATTGTGTCCAGTTCTGGGCACCGCATTTCAGGAAAGATGTGGAGACATTGGAGAGGGTCCAGAGAAGAGCAACAAGAATGATTAAATGTCTAAAAAACATGAGCTATGAGGGAAGGCTGAAAGACAGGCCTCTACAATCTTGAACTATAACCAAGAGACAAGTAAAAAAACCAGCAAGCAAATGGTCAAACCAGCAAGCAATTGGGTTTGTTTAGTTTAGAAAAGAGAAGACTGAGGGTGTCATAAGGAGGAGGGAGAAAACTTGTTCATCTTGGCCTCTGAGGATAGAACAAGAAGCAATGGGCTTAAACTGCAGCAAGGGAGGTTTAGGTTGGACATTAGGAAAAAGTTCCTAACTGTCAGGGTGGTTAAACACTGGAATCAATTGCCCAGGGAGGTTGTGGAATCCCCATCTCTGGAGATATTTGAGAGAAGGTTAGATAAATGTCTATCAGGGATGGTCTAGACTGTATTTGGTCCTGCCATGAGGGCAGGGGACTGGACTCAATGACCTCTCGAGGTCCCTTCCTGTCCTAGTATTCTATGATTCAGGAGCACGGGACTTGTGCTTGACACATCACTCAGGAAGTACCCGGTTTCCTGTCATGGATTTTGGTCCCAGCCAGCATTCACAAGACCCCAAACGCTGCTTCCGCTTGGCAAATCTTCCTGACGCCAGGGAAGTGCCTGGCTCCACGCCATGTGTACCCCACCTCAGGGCAGGCTGTTCCGAAGTTGGGCCTAATCCCTCAACGAGCGATGAGTTCTCTAATCAGATTCCACCAGTTATTAAGCGTTCACTCCTCCAGCACTGTGCCAGCCACCGCATAGCTTCACAGTCCCTTTGAGTATTCCAGGCTATCTCGCCACCCAGCTGACCCTACCTTTGCGATAGACGGTCCCCCAAGAATTACAGCCATGTTCTGGTTAATCCCAATCCCAAAAGACCAGTCACTTACCCGGGCCCATTGCACCTTAGATCTCCCATCCAAGCCAACACTTGTAATCAATCCAATAATAAGGTATCTAAAGATTAGTTAACTAGGAAAAGGAATTAAGAGAGTCATTTACAAGTTTAAAGCAGGTAAACATACCTGTGCACAGAGGAGTTTCAATCTTAATTGAATAAAATGATAGAAGCTTGTATAATAAGCACATTCTTTATGGCTAACCCAGACTAAACACTGGGATCTTTTGCTTATGCCTAATAATCCTTGCATTTCTAGTCCCTTGCGTTTTTAGTCCCTTTCCCCCTTCTGCGTGGAGCTGCAAACTTAGCCAAGGGAAAAAATTCACTTGCAAGACTTACCTTCATAGTGAGGGAGAGAGTAAACAACCAAATCTTTTGTCCTCTTTAACGAACCACAATAGTCCATCTGTTGTCAACGGGCCTTCCTCGTTTCTGTTGGAAACTCGTATTAGTTAATGTCTTTCACCTGTCAGCTGATTTGCACATTTAGAGATGCCTACAATGCAAACACTCAGATATGCCCTTACAATATGGGATATGGGCGTTACAGGTGAAATTACTGCGGGCAGCAACTCCACACGTCTTCAGTAAAGACTAACCCCATTCTTATAACTCCATTTACCTATTTTAATGCTACTAACACATAGGGGATCCAGTCTGATGTCTGTGTCAGTGTTTCATTGAGGTCTGGGGATGTCGGCATGAGCTTTCACCTAGCCTGCCCACATCACAGTAAGCATCCGAGAAAGGGAGCCGTCAGTTACCGCTGTGGTCTCCCTGGTTCCTATCAAAGCCCCTTTCTTTTAATTTAACCCTCTTCTTTCCCCCACTAACGTGTTTGCTCCTCCTTACCACGGATCGATCCTTGCGTTCTTTAAATTGTGACGTTAATGTCATAGAAGCTGTGTGCCCAGTGAATCGCCTGACTGCACGGGGAAGGCACTAAGCATCAGTGTTGTCTTCAAGTCATCATTGTCAAGTCTAAGTGGAGTCTCAAGTCACTACAGTTCAAGTTTCGAGTCCCTAAAGTCACTTTCAAGTCAAGTCCCAAGTCGAGTCTCAAGTCTTAATTTTAAAAATGGCAAGTCACTTTTGTACAAGCCATTGATATCGATAAATAACAATAATCACTCTCTGTTTTCATTTATTAACCTTAATCGTACTTGCCGTACTTATCAACTACTAGTAGTCCAGCTGGGAGGCGGCTAAATTGTACTTGCCGTACTTTACTAGTAGTCCAGCTGGGAGGCGGGGCCGCGATCGCCATTGTGGACGGTTTGTTACTAACAACAGCGGCATTTTCGGACAATTTTTTCACCAAGTCAATGTAACAAAATTAGCAAGTCTCAAGTCGAGTCTCAAGTCACAAACAACGAACCCGAGTCGAGTCTCAAGTCAAGTCACCTCGGCGACTTAAGTCCGACTCGAGTTCAAGTCATGGGACTCGAATCAACAACCCTGCTAAGCGCTAAGAAGGCCAACTGGTGGAGGTGTTAGACCCACCATCAGTGAACTCAATGAACATTAAGCTGGGCCATGGAGTTAATTTAGGAAGGTATTTGCAGGAGGGAGCTATTGTTATAGATGGAATCTCTCCTCTGTCTAGCTAGATGAATAAAATCTTTATACACACAAGGCTGTGTCTAGACTGGCATGATTTCACACAAATACTTTTAATGGAAACGTTTTTCCGTTAAAAGTATTTGCGCAAGCAGCACTGATTTTGTACATTACAAAGTCAGCGTTCTTGCGCAAATTCTCGCGGCCAGTGTAGACAGGCGGCAAGTTTTTGCGCAAAAGCGGCTGCTTTTGTGCAAAATCTTGCCAGTCTAGACGCTCTCTTGCGCAAATACTTGAATGCTCCCGCTCAGGCATAAGCCCTCTTGCGCAAGAATACTTGCGCAAGAGGGCTTATGCCTGAGCGGGAGCATTCAAGTATTTGCGCAAGCAGCACTGATTTTGTACATTACAAAGTCAGCGTTCTTGCGCAAATTCTCGCGGCCAGTGTAGACAGGCGGCAAGTTTTTGCGCAAAAGCGGCTGCTTTTGTGCAAAATCTTGCCAGTCTAGACGCACCCACAAATGTTTTGAGCCCTCAAAACCACAAGTTGTGTGCGTGTATTGCCAACCAGATGCTAACAACACAGACCAGATCTACAGCCACAATCTAAGTCACCAAATCTTGTGCAGTTTGAATCCAAGGCTTTAGTTCAGTGTTTCGAAACCAGTGGTACGAGTACCCATAGGGGTATTCGAGAGCAGTCTGGGGGCACGTCAACACAACTGAAAACTGGAGAAAGCCGAATTTCTGCTTTACGTTTCATAGCGTTTTATTATTTTTTCCTTTTTACTCCCAAAAATTTAATCGCCCGCCTGTCTACGATTAAGTTGTTTAAACAAATGTGTTGCAATAGTAGAAAAAAAGTGTCTGAAAACTGTAGGTACTGGAGTTACTTTTTATTTTTTGGAAAAAGGGGTGCTTTATAAAAAAAGGTTGCGAAGCACTGCTTTAGTGTACAGGGGGAAGCAGCTACGTTTACACTGCACTGTAGTTAATTGCGTATCTTATTTGGAAATAGCTTATTTCGCCATTTGGCGCTGTCTACACAGCACCATATTTTGAAATAACTCACTATTCTGAAACATCCCTTAACTCCTCGTGGAATGAGGTTTACACAGACATCAGAATAGAATCATAGGACACTAGAACTGGAAGAGACCTCGAAATGTCATCGAGTCCAGTCCCCTGCCCTCATGGCAGGACCCAGTACTGTCTAGCCAACCCTGATAGAGATTTATCTAACCTGCTCTTAGATATCTCCAGAGATGGAGATTCCACAACCTCCCTGGGCAATTTATTCCAGTGTTTGACCACCCTGACAGGTAGGAAGTTTTTCCTAATGTCCAACCTAAACCTCCCTTGCTGCAGTTTAAGCCCATTGCTTCTTGTCCTCTATAATGGGCTTGCCTTTAAGACGCAGGATAGCTATTTTGGAATACTCCCGAAACAGCATTGCAGAGTAGACGTAGCCAGGAAGTGTCTATTTCTGGATTTAACCTTCCCTAAAGTTTGGGCTTGTTTACTTAAAAGGTTTTTATAACCAGCCCCTTCTTCCTCCCCACGCCTGCTGCTGATTTGAACGAGCCCTCTCCGCACTGAGCTCTGTGAAGTGAGAGAGCAGGATGACTGGCCTGTGGGTGGATGTAATCTCTTTCCGAGCGCGGGCACCCGGCAACCGCTGATGGAAAGGGACCCATTCGCCTGTGAACAGCTGCCTCGGACGGTTGTAATTGCAAAGCTGGGGCTCATTCAGAAGCCAAAATAAGCTGCAGCGAAATGGGCTGCAAGTTGATGTCAAACCACCGACCAGGAGGCTAGCGCTGTGCACTGGCTTCTAAATGGTGGAGGGAAGATGATGCCAGAGAAACAGCAGCCCCAGATACAGAAGTGCTCCATGGACCCGCCTAGCCTGGTCAGTGGCCGCACTGGGGCAGTCCGTACCCACCCCGTTCAGTGCACGGGAGTCTCCTCTATGCATGTCTCTCTCCATCTTTCAGTGCAGAAAGGGGCCTCCACATGCGAGACAGGGCGACAGGGCCTAGCAAACAGGGACAAGCCAGCCTGGACCCTGGCCCCCAGATACAGAAGTGCTCCATGGACCCGCCTAGCCTGGTCAGTGGCCGCACTGGGGCAGTCCGTACCCACCCCGTTCAGTGCACGGGAGTCTCCTCTATGCATGTCTCTCTCCATCTTTCAGTGCAGAAAGGGGCCTCCACATGCGAGACAGGGCGACAGGGCCTAGCAAACAGGGACAAGCCAGCCTGGACCCTGGCTAGGGAATCGCCCCCTCCCCCCCCCGGCGCCTCCTGCTGGCCACTCAGGGAATCAGCTCGTCAGCCCCTGCAGCGCCCCCTTCTGGCCGGCGTCTCACCTGCTGTGATCTGTTATTGCGAACCACTTGCCGTCAGGAGCCACGTCCCTCCCAAACGGCAGCGTCCTCCCCACCGGGTACTGCCCCACAGCAGCACCCCCTCAGGGAACCCCAACCCCCTATGCCCACCCGGCTTCAGCGACCCACCAGCAATCGTCAGCTAGCCCCCGCCTCGGGGCAGACTACAGTCTGAAATGGCCGCTCAGCATTGGCAAGGGGGTGTGGACCTGCTGCCTTGGCCTTCCCTGGCTGCCTCCTTGCAGCCTGGGAGCTTGCCTGGCCGGAGCTCCCCAGCCCTGCTCTGTGTCAGGAACCCACCAGCTTCCCTGGGAGCCGGGTCCCTCCTACTCCTCAGCAGCAGCAAGAGTGAGTCAGGGAGTCTCCTCCCCCCAGGCGTCTTTATTTATACAGCCCTCAGCTGGGCCCTGATTGGCTGTATCTGCCTCAGCTGCTGGCTCCACAGATCCAGGCCTCTCCCCTTAAAGGGCCAGTGCAGGGCAGACGCCCTCTCACAGTGGACCTCAAGCAGTGACTTTTGTGTGTGGCCATGGGTGCTCCTCTCTGCCCATTGCCCACCCCTGTGCCAGCAGTGGGTGGGGCCTCCGGAGGGACAGGCAGGGCTTCAGGGCAGAGTAAGGGGGACCCCTTCTGGCCGGCGTCTCACCTGCTGTGATCTGTTATTGCGAACCACTTGCCGTCAGGAGCCACGTCCCTCCCAAACGGCAGCGTCCTCCCCACCGGGTACTGCCCCACAGCAGCACCCCCTCAGGGAACCCCAACCCCCTATGCCCACCCGGCTTCAGCGACCCACCAGCAATCGTCAGCTAGCCCCCGCCTCGGGGCAGACTACAGTCTGAAATGGCCGCTCAGCATTGGCAAGGGGGTGTGGACCTGCTGCCTTGGCCTTCCCTGGCTGCCTCCTTGCAGCCTGGGAGCTTGCCTGGCCGGAGCTCCCCAGCCCTGCTCTGTGTCAGGAACCCACCAGCTTCCCTGGGAGCCGGGTCCCTCCTACTCCTCAGCAGCAGCAAGAGTGAGTCAGGGAGTCTCCTCCCCCCAGGCGTCTTTATTTATACAGCCCTCAGCTGGGCCCTGATTGGCTGTATCTGCCTCAGCTGCTGGCTCCACAGATCCAGGCCTCTCCCCTTAAAGGGCCAGTGCAGGGCAGACGCCCTCTCACAGTGGACCTCAAGCAGTGACTTTTGTGTGTGGCCATGGGTGCTCCTCTCTGCCCATTGCCCACCCCTGTGCCAGCAGTGGGTGGGGCCTCCGGAGGGACAGGCAGGGCTTCAGGGCAGAGTAAGGGGGAGCCCTGCACAGAAAGCAGGAGGCTCCCCAGGGAGAGGGTGTGATGACACATTGGGGTTTTCCCTTCTCCTGCACCCCCGTAATGGCACGAACAGACTCCACCAGCCAGTAGAATAGAGGGAGTTTATTGCTTCTCCAGGATACAGCACAGCACAGATGTCATCTGGTTCCAGGGCAGGCCTAGGATGCCTCAGCCC